GCTCTTGGGCTCCAGGGGTATCTGCCAGTACCCGTTCTTGAGGTCTAAACTACTTATGTACTTTGCCTGGCGCAGTTTGTTCAGTATGTGCTGTATCCTCGGCAAGGGGTATGCGTCCGGTACTGACCGGGCATTGAGCTGCCGGTAGTCCACGCATAAGCGCCACTTGCCGTTCTTCTTCCGGGCTAGTACGATCGGCGCACTGTGCGGACTGCGAGACGGCTCAATACATCCTTTCTTGAGTAGCTCATCGATTTCCGTGTCGATTACAGATTGCATCGCAGGGTTGCGCGGGAAGTACCGCTGTTTGATGGGACGTTCATCAGTCATGATGATCCGGTGCTCTCCCACGGTGGCTACTCCGCTAATATTCTCGAATTTTTGCAGTTCTTCGGCTAGAAAGTCGCGTATGCGGGCTGCCTCATCTTCGTGGTTGAGATCCTCGTGTCCAATTCTATTGATATTCTCCCTTGCGGACCGTCGCCTTGTATGGCGCCTCCCTTTTCTGCTCCTTGGTGGGCCATGGTTCGTCATGGCGGGTGGTTCGGGGTTCTCGGTGCTTGGTGTTGGCTCGCTGGGTGTCGCCGACGTGGGTTGTATAGGTGGTTCCGTCAATACGACGCGGTGCCCGCCGCAGGACACCGTAGCTCCCATTCCCCCTAATGTGTCTAGGCCCAAAATGATGTCGTCAATTGCTCCAGGCATGACATACAGAACGGCGTTGTGGATCGTTTGCCCGAGGCGGATTACGTTTCTCACGGCCTCGGATATTTGGTTACTGGTACCATCGGCCATAAGGATTCCTATGGCCACAGTTATCTTTTTGCCTCTCCCCAAGCTAACCAATTGCTCCGCCACGCTGGCGGACACGAAGCTTCTCGAGGCTCCTGTGTCGATGACGGCTTCCGCGGGCGCTCCACCCAACGAGATTAGGGCATAGAGGCGGCCGCGTTCCTGGCTCAAAATTATTGGTTGTCCGGCGCTGTACTCGTGGGCTTCATCGCGCCGGTCCTCTGATGAAGCCCTCTCTCGTTTCCCGGACGCCTCCGGCAGCACTCTATTGTCCGTATGTCGGCCCGGCCACACTCCCAACAGAACAGCTTCTGTGGGTTACGGCACCTTCGGGCGTAGTGTCCCTCTTGGCCACACCTCCTGCATGTGTTGCCGCTATGATCAGTTTGAATTGTGGCTCTCGAAGGGGGTGGGGTCCTCGCGGCGTTATTATACGATGCCTCTCGATGATGCTGTTCCCTACGTGGTGGTGGTCGTCGCTGAAATGCCTGTCTCGGTGGGGATGGTGACATAATGGTGTCGTCACCAACGTGCCTCGCTACTTCATGCCGTGATACTTCTGGGGCACGTCGACGACTTTCTTGTATGCCTTCGTACTCTTCCGCGAGCGCTAGAAGCTCCGGCAAGGTGTTAAAATCCCACCGTTTAATTTACAGTAAGTAATCGGCGTGACTATTGCGGAAGATTCTCTCCAACCGTTGTTCGTTGCTGTAGGCTGCACGTCGCATCAGGTTCTGGATCGCGATCACGTAGTCCTTAAATTTTTCTCGCGGGCGCTGCCTCCGTTGCCTGATGTCGTCTTCCAAACGCTCAAAATACTGGGCCGGCAGAAAAAATTCAGGAAATCACGTTTGAATGAGTGCCAGGTGCTCCAGTGTTCGTTGTTGTTGCGGTACCACTGGAGGGCAGTGCCGCTTAGCAATTCTGGCATCGTCTTTGGTAACAGGTCTACGTTTAATGCGTAGACGTCGGCTAACTCCTCCAATCGTTCTGCAAACGCCAACGGGTCGCGTCCTCCATCGTACTTCACCGACCACTTGCGTACCTGGTCGATGATGGGCGCAAAGGTAACGGTCGGCACATGGTTGCCGTTGTTTAGCACGTCAGCGTTTGGTGCGATGGATGTCGTTGGCGGTTGTAGACTTGGTGGTGGATATGCGAACTGGCTCTGCGTTGGCGGCCTAACGGGCACATTAGCGGTTCTTTCGCCTTGATTCACGGTTAACGGTGTCTTTGGTTCGCTTTCGTTTCTCCAGTGGGCCTCCTGTTCGTTGTATGCTGCTTCCATCGCGAGAAATTTTGCGTGAAGTTCCGGGTGGACGAGTGCTTTGGCGGCCCATGCCGCTATCCGTTTCCTTATCTCTCGAGTGGTGCCTGTGTGCTCGATGCCCAGTTCCTGTGTGATGGACACCAACTGTTCCTTGGATACGCTGTCCAGCCACGCTATGCTCACTGGTTCTGTCATGGCTGGTTTAATTATTGGCTTCGAAATGTTCTCCTCGTATTGTACTATTTGCAGAGTCCCTGCTCGGGCGCCAATTGTAACGAAGCGTTTTCCTGTTAAGGCCCCGATGCTTCTGTTTTCTATGCTGGGGTATACTCGCTGTGCCCAGGGTCCGTTACAATAAATTTATATTGTGGGGCCTTTGCAAATAGTACTTTATTTAATTGCTGCTTATTTTCTATCACGTGGAAATTCTTAACATTACAAACATAATATCATTAACGGGACGTAAATTCCTAACGGTGCTGTTCTATCGGCGTTGCTGTATCGCCGCTCTGTCGCTGTGCGACGCCGGCGCTGCTGTATCGCCGCTCTGTCGCTGTGCGACGCCGGCGCTCTGCTTCTGTGCGACGTCGGTTCCCTGCTACCAGGCGGCGTCTGCGCTACTGTGTCGGCGCTCTGCTAGTATTTGACGTCGGCGTTACTATGCCGGCCCTCTGCTTCTGTGCGATGTCGGCGCTCTGCTATGCCGGCGCACTGTTATCCCACGATCGGGCGTCGCTGTCGCGCGTGTTCGCGGTGGACTGTGGCGTGGCGGCGCTCTACCCTTGAATAGCCAAGCCTTGTGTAGTCGCCTATCCACAAGTCGAGCGCTATTCGTTTGTAGCTGTGCGTTCACGACCACAGCTCCGTTACTGACGCGTAGACTGCTGGCGCGTGACTTCGGCGCTTCTCCGTTAGTGCGCGGCTGCTGGGTGACTTCGGCGCTTCTCCGTTAGTGCGCGGCTGCTGGGTGACTTCGGCGTTGTGCTGGTGGGCGAACTGGCGTCGCCGTCGGCTGACTCACGGTGTACTGCGGAGTGGCGGCACTCTACCCTTGAATAGACAAGCCTTGTTTAGTCGCCTATCAACAAGTCGTGCGCTATTCGTTTGTAGCTGTGCGTTCACGACCACAGCTCCGTGCTGACTGACTCGTATGTTTCTGAGTCACTTCTGTTATAGCTGGTGTTCTTCGTGTTGCTGAGTTGTGTGGCTACATGTTGCGTTGCTATGGTGACGGTGTCGCAAAGGAGTGTTGATACGGTCTCCCGTGTTGGTTAGCCGTTTCGATGATGTTGCTGTAGTCGTTATTGTTGGTGTAGGGGTTTGTGTTCGTGTGGGCTAAATTCCGCGGATATTTAGTCCTCACACTTCCCCCCCTCTTCGGCAGGCTTCAGGCTTGGGATGTTTCTGAACTATACTTGCGCCCCACCGGTATACGTTGACTCGGTATCCTTCCGCGCGGAACCTCACACAGGACGCGCAGGTTCCCTCTGCTATGTCGCGTATAGCCTTCCGGGCCCTCTCGGCGATCTCCGGGAACTGGTCTAGTGCTGGCCCGTCGATTTCGTCGGCGGGGATTACCGTTTGTCCCATTGGTGGGGTTGACGAACATTGTGGTTGTGATACTGCTTCAGTCGGTGCTGGTGTTCGGGGGGGTGACTCTGACAGTGGTGCTACCTCTGGTGATACTGGTGTGTGTGGCGGTGAGGGTAGTGGTGTTGTTGCCTCTGGAGGCTCCGTGGGTCGTGGTGG